CTAAACCCTAAACCCTAAAGCCTAAAAAAGGACCCTAAACCCTCGAAATACCGTAAACCCTCAAAAAACCCTAAACCCTCGAAAAACGCCAAACCCTAAACCCTAAACCCTAAATAAGGGTTTGGGGAGTTTATGCATATTCAGGGGGTCTGGCGGATGTACAACAAAGACAAAGAAGAAAATACTTTAGGACAGAAGAGATACATACAGAAGGTGCATTTCTTCCTGAGGTACCTAAACCCTAAACCCTAAACCCTAAACCCTAGACCCTAGAGAGTTACATCCTTGATGATACTCAACAAGCAGGAAGAAGATACCACGAGCATCAATCTGGGTACCTATGCACCTCCGTCAAAAATGAATGTTTAGGGTTTAGGGTTTAGAGTCTAGATTTAGGGTTAAGGGTTTAGGGTTTAGGATTTAGGGTTTACTGCTGCAGCAAGAGGAGAGTGTTTGCTCCCAGTCTCTCTCTGAGGATTTAGAGTTAATGGGGGGAGCAGCAGAGGCCCTTTGCCGTCTCCTAGCTAAATACAGGGGGGCCTCCTGGGGGCCCCCAGGGGGGCCCCCTGGCAAGCAACAATGGGGGCCCCCTTGGGGGCCCCCACCATACCTTGCCTGTCCTAGTAAAAGACCCATGATACAGAGCTCGCGAGTCCCAAGATGTAAACCCTAAACCCTAAACCCTAAACCCTTCCTGGTAACCCTAACCCTTATCCGGATGCACTTTACGCACATAAGAGCAGCAACAGCAACAGCAGCAGCAGCAGCGGCAGCAGCGGCAGCAGCAGCAGCAGCAACTGTTTTGCTGCTGTCCTCAGGCCCGAGGGAATGTTGGAGGCCCCTCAGCAGCAGTAACCGCACAGACGGTTGGAGGGGACGATCGCACAGCAGCAAGAGGGGTCCCTGGGTCCCCTGGGGGGCCCCATGGGGGCCCCCAACTGAACCATCAGGCAAGGGAGCAGCAACAGAACACTAGGGTTTAGGGTTTAGGGTTTAGGGTTTAGTAGGGTTTAGGGAGACCTGAAAGGGGAGGTCGTGTCGTTCTTATCTGTAGGAAGCTCTAAACCCTAAACCCTAAACCCTAGAGGAAGGGTTTACGTTGTACTGGTGTTCAGTTCCTTCCTCTGGAGACGACTGCTGGGGATCGTCTTCCCATCTCTGCAGCAGCAGCAGCAGCAAGTGGGGCCCCACACCTGACTCGGCAGCTGCTGCAGAGGGGGGCCCCCCGGCAGCAGCAGCAGCAGCAGCAGCACCTGCTGCTGCTGGCAGAGACAACCGGTGGGGGCCCCCCATGGGGCCCCCCGAACCCATGGGGGGGCCCCATACAGCCAGGGGGCCCCCTTTCAGAGGGGGGGCCCCCTTAAGTCTAAGGAAGGGTTTGGTTCGTCCTGCCTCTGCGGGTGCGGTACCGTGCAGACTCAACAGCAGCAGCAGCAGCAGCAGCAGCAGCAGCAGCAGCAGCAGCGGGGAGTTCTTCAAGTCGCAGGTGATGAGACCTTGTTGGGATCGACGGATGCAGCAGCAGCAGCAGCAGCAGCAGAAGCAGCAAACAGCAGCAGCAAATCTTGCAAACTGCAGCAGCAGCAGAAGCACTACCTGCTGCTGCTGCTGTTGCTGCAGCAGGAGCCACCCTGATCTACGTGCACCAGCGACAACAGCAACAGCAACAGCAGCAGCAGCAGCAGCAGCAGCAGCACTGCCTGCAAGACCGAGTACTCCTTGTGTAGGCCCAGGTACGCGTTTGCCTACAGCAACAGCAGCAGCAGCAGCTGGGGCCCCCAGGGGCCCCTTCTCTCCTTCTTCAACACCATCACGTGGCAGTCCCCTAGTAGGGGCCCCTCCTTCCTCTCCTGTATATGCTAAGGGGCCCCCCGAGGGGCCCCCAAGACAATGCAGGCCTTATTCGCGCCTCCGGCGCAGCAGCAGCAGCAGCAGCAGCATCAGCAGCTGCATAGTGAGGCCTCGCCATAGAGGCAGCAGCAAAGGAGAGGAATCGAGGGCCACTAAGAGGAGGGGCCCCCTTAGGGGGGCCCCCCTAGGGGGCCCCGTATGTGAAGAAGGAGCAGCGATGGCAAATGAGGTGTCTGCAGAGACACTGCCTGTAGAGTCTTCCCTCTTCTCCCGCAGCAGCACCGGCAGCAGCAGCAGCAGCAGCAGCAGCGGCAGCAGCGGCAGCAGCAACACGGTCCTGGAGGTTCTCCCCGTGCCGCAGCCATCGGAGGTGGGGCCCCGCAACAGTGGGGGGGGGCCCCAAGATGGGCCCCATTTGGGGGGCCCCTCTTGGGGCCCCCCTCCGTGGGGGCCCCCCATGCTTACTTGGGGGCTCCCCTACCAAGGGGGGCCCCCAATAGCAGCAGGAGGGGCCCCCCCCGAGAGGCTGCATGAACCCATGCAGCATGGGGGCCTCCCTCCCTCCTTGCGGCTGTCTTCGCAGCGGTGCCTCATGCTGCAGGGGCCCCAACAGCAGCAGCAGAAGCAGCAGCAGCAGCAGGATGATGGG